AAAAAAAAAAAAAAAAAACCTATCTTACAAATGTTCTTATTTGTTTTCAGCATACAAGATACAACATTCCCTTTGCTGCCTCTCTTAGGAAAATGTCTAAAATGTCAGAGAAGATGATGGTTCCAGGTATCCATCTGGCCATATCCACCTGTGGCAAAAGAAAGATTTGGGCCCGTTTTCTGAATTAATTCAGAAACAAAACAAAACAAACAGAACAAGACAAACTTAATCTCCAGCCTGAATTATTAATAATTGAATATTGGGTCAAATGTAGTTTGGGGTCCCTACTTTACAGTGAAATTGCTTCATTTTCTATTTGTCATGGCCAGGGTTGAGCTGGCTGTACATGTGGAGGTGATGAAGGGAGAGTTTGGAGAGAGGTGAATGTTTGCTGGGGTCCTGACTTTCAAGCTTTGCCAATGGATGGGGATCTTCTTTCTGGGTGTTGTTAGATTTGCAATAAGAGAACAATCCTGGTGTTCTTCAGTTGGTTCTTAATGGCCACATCTGTGGAGAAGATTGCCCTAAACATTAGGGTTCATAGAATCAAGAAAAACAAAAAGCATGTAAAAGGGGATTGAGGATCTACCTGAGACAGTTCAGTAAGACAGAATGAGGAAATCCTTGGTTGTTCTGTTAACTGCACAGCACATCAGCAAATATTTCTTGATTATGTAGATAACTGTGACAAGGGAAGGGCAGGGGGAATTGGGTTCCAATTTGCTCTTGCTTAGGAGTTTTCATAGTTGTAGCTGTTATTTCTAATTAACTGATTAAGTTGGAAGCTTAATGCTGTGTTAGAAGAAAAGCTTTCTTATCCAGGTACAGTGGCAAGTGCCCCAAGTCTCAGCTACTTTAGAGGCCGAGGAAGGAGGATCGCTTGAGCCCAGGAGTTCAAGTCCAGCCTGGGCAACACAGCGAGACCCCATCTCTATTAAAAGAAAGAAAGAAAGAAAGAAAAGCTTCCTGATTGAAAGAGATTAGAATCCTGGAAAATAAGGGGATTCTGACAAACAAATATCTGAAGGGGACAAAGAGAAGGCCTTGTTTTGGAAGTTCATGGTGAATCCAATCCCACGTCATGCCTGTTATCCAACAGTGCTGCCTGGGTTCCCGGACTTCTCTGATGACACCTCATGATAGCCCAGTGAAACAATCCAAAGAAGAGCCCATTTACAGATGAAAATATGAAATGCAGAAGGAGGGGAACTTGTTCAAGTTTATAAAGCTGTTTGGAAGGAGTTCACGTACTGGTTTTTCAGTACTTCTCCCATCACACCACATGGGACCACCTGAGCTCAGCAGATGCTCAGAGTGTAGATTTTATGACAATCAGGTCACAAAATATCAAAAATGATATAGGATTGAATCAATTTCTCTGAAGAAGGAGGAAGCTACAGAAGAAAACACTGAAAAAGAAGGGGTGTATGTTTAAATGAGCCTTTTCTTTACACGAATGGTAAATTTTGCATTTCTCCATTCCTTTTTAAATATGTTTTCCATAACTTGGCTGAACCAGGCTGAAAGAGGATGCCTGGCATGGCGGAGGTGTTGCGCTCAGAAGTAGATGGGACGATGAGAGAAGGAGAGAGAATAACCTTTTTTGTTTTGCCAGGGGCCAGTCATCCCTAAATTCTTGGATGACAGAGAAAAAGTTAGTGAGCCTTTATCTTACTGAAGGGGGGACCCCAGTGTCGGGGCAGAGTTATCCGCAGTGCAGGCAGAAAATGCAGCAAATCTGACTTGGCCTCACCACACTCTCTGGTTTGTGGATGACATTTCATGCAGAGAAAAAAAAAAAGCCGAGCCTGTTCTTGGAATGGGCAAGCCCAAAAGGCTAAGCCACCAGGCCATGTGACCATTCATCTAGGTGGTTGAAGATTCCCGAGCTCGGGAGAAAACGGGCCAGGCAGGCAATGAAATCAGGCACATGAGAAGAAATCATTTTGTTTTTGCAAACTTAGTCTGCGTTGAGTAAAAACTCATTTTAGAATGAATAGAGAATTTCTTCATCTCCTCAGCCAATTGCTGGCTTGAATTTATAGCTGAATTCAACTACATGGGTTCACTGAATGTGTCATAATTTAGTTTTCAGTGCAAGGAGAAAATGAGAGGCCATCTCAAAATTTGAAGAAATGTTGAGAAAATTAAATAATTCTCTGGATAAAGATACATAAGGGAAGGATGGAAGCAGAGATAAATGAACACTCTCCTAGCCTTCCATAAAATGTATTATTCTATTTGTATATAATTTATCACCTTGGATAGAGGAATGGAAACTGATTATATTCAAAAGTAGCTAAGTAGCAACTTATTTGAACTTGAGCAACACAGAATCAGAGAGAAGAGAATAGAAGGATTGAAGTTGAAACCCCAAGAAAAGAGCATTACGAGGCTGGTGACTGAGAGAAGATTAGGGTTCTGCCTTTTAGAAGTGTGATACTAGGGCTTGATCCCACAGTCTGTACCTAGTGCTTGGGGAATATCGGTGCTTTCCCAGGTGCTAACACTACCAACCAGCATAGAGAACCATCACCGCGTGGCATTTCCTCTAGTGTTATTTCCTTTTAGTCCTTTGAGAAAAGCCAGCTAAAGTAAATGTCATTGCTGTCATGCAGCTCAAGAGGCCTGGGGAGATTCGAGTTCTTGTGAAAATGTGCTAATTATTAATATAACATAACAGTAGGAGTTGGGGAGGGGAAAGGGGGGTCCTGCCAGGTTTCTTCTGTCATGAAAAATGAAGAGGACCCTGGCTGGGGCTCAAAGTTGGAGCATCGCCCTCCTCTATGAATGCATAAAAGATGCAGGTAGACTCGAGTGGGGAGGACCCAGACAGCCTCCAAGGCTGGAGAGATTTAGCCTGAACCTGTGATTTGGGCATGGCTCCTTTGGGGCACCCTCCAGAATTCTAGGCAAACTGCCAGTGGATTCAGGGCTTATACACAGCACAGGGCAGTGGGAAGAGTGTGGGCTCTCGAATTGGGGAAGCCTGGGTTTCAATCTGAACTTGGCTACTTCTTGGCTATGTGATTTTAGGTAAATTACTTCTCCAAAGCCTTTATTTTCCTTATCTTTTTTTTTTTTTTTTTAAGCGATAGGGTCTCACTCTGTTGTCTGGGCTGGAGTGCAGTGGCGAGATCATAGCTCACTGCAACCTCAACTCCTGGGCTCAAGTGATCTCCCTTCTCAGCTTCCTGAGTAACTGGGACTTACATGTATAGGCCACCATGCCCGGCTAACTTTTTAATTTTTTTTTGTAGTGACAAGGTCTCACTATGTTGCTCAGGCTGGTTCTCAAACTCCTGGCCTCAAGCGATCCTCTTGCCTTGGCCTCTCGAAGTGCTGGGAGTACAGGTGTGAGCTACCACATCTGGTCTTCCTCATCCTTAAAATGGAAATAATAATATATCGATCTCATAGGATTCCTATGAGGATTTGTGAGATCATCTGTGAACTCTACACGCTGCTGCCTGGAACACTGTGAGTGCAAAAAATGGTAGCTATTAGGGTTATTTTATTTCTTAAGCCATCTGTAGTCAAGCTTCATCCTCTGATGAAGGGTGAGAGCAGCACTTGTAAGGCATCGCCTTCCAGACAGAGCTGGGAGCCGACAAAAAGCAGCCCCCCTGAGAGCTCCTTGCAGGGAGCCAGCCAACATCCGATCCCCATTATGCCAGTCCTGGACCCCATTATCTGCCCAGCTCCAGTGTCCTTCCTCATTCCAAACAACCTGATAGACACAGTAACTGGTCCCATGTTGTGACACAGTTGGGGTATTTGCTTAAGAGTTTGAGTTAAACAGATTCGAGCCATCTTATTCTTTGGTTCCACAGCATTTGGTTATGCAAGTTTCATATCCTCTCATCTTCCGTTTTCTCCAGTGTCCAAGAACAAAGAGCGGAAGCAGAAAGAAATGGCAGCGGCTGTGAGGGGTGCCATCACCCCCCACACCCCTTCCACCGAAGTGAGGCCAGAAGTGTGTCAGGCTGGATTTGTTGACATCTTCGATTATTCTGTAGGAGGCTTGGCCAATGCCTCATATTTTGAAAACCCAGTCAAGAAGTAAGCAACAGAGCTGGCAAGAGAGAATATTATAACCCAAAAGGTGGGACAGATTAGCGTCACCAGAGAAGAAGCACAACTAGAGAGAAGGGAAGGAAAGAAAGGATGAGAGAATAAGGGGGAAAGAGAAAAATGAAAACCTGAAAGTAGAAAAGGAAATTGAAGAGAGACAAAGCTTTTTGGTGCTGATAAAGCTTAAGAATCAGGAAATGATGATCATAATAACAGTTAGAGAAAGTGGGAGTGAGATGGTTAGAAAGCCTCAAACAAAGAATCATTAAGTGGGAACAGGCCTTTGTGATCCATCTCCTGTCCTCATAGTTAAAGAGAAGAAAGAGAAAGTGTCCGGGCCTTTGTGCCTAGAGGGGATTGGACTGTGAACTATAAGGCCCTTTCCACAGGTAAATGTGTAAGTCATATATATTTTTAAGGTTCCTTATTTGGTTAAGAGCTGTCACCGTGGCCTGTGTAACTTCCATGAAAGCCATGTTGTGATGGATGACATGAATGTGTTTGCTTTTCTCAGTTCTCAAAAGTCAGCATCATAATGCCCTTCAAAGTTCTAAGTAGTTTATGCAGTGTGATCATTTTTTTTTTTAAAACTGACCAGGTCCCAGGTACATCCTGGGACTAATGCTGAACATTTGGGAAAGTAAGAATCTCGGCTAGAACCAGGTTCTCGAACTCGGTGGCAGTCCTCTGGGCGATTCCTCAGCTTGCTGGTTGTTCAGCTCTACAATATCTGTTTCCTTGGTGTCCAGGTTTTCCATTAAATACAGCACATCAGGAGAGACTTGAGAGCCGGCCATGAAGTTGATTCCACTGGTCTCTGAGGATGTTTCTGTGTCAACTAAAAGAGGTGGCTGAGAGCTCACAGGGTCTGGACTTAGGTTTCCCAGGGAGGTGTGGCTGGACCCCAGGAAGTCTGGGAGGCTCCACCTTTTTAGAAACATGTCTGTATCACCAGAGTCTTCTTCATACTTGAATATGTTTCTCTCAGTGTCGGCTGGAATGGTCGGGGGACTGGGGCCACTAGGAGGTTTCCCCTTCTCTGAGGCGGACAGAACTGACCCTACCGGGCCCTCCTGCTGCCCAGGCCCACTTGGCTGAACCCCAGTAAACTCAAAGCTCAGGATGGAGGTAGTAGAGTCATGGTGGTCGGTGTCTGATGTGGGCACTGGTGCTTTGGCCGCTGTCATCAATACCTCGGGGACCTGTGGCATTTTGGTGGGGGAGGTCCTCACACTGGGCTGTGGGGTCAGGCTCGGTAAAGTGCTTGTCTGGCTGGTCTCCCGGATTGTGGACAGTTCTCCCACACTGGAATGCGGCATGGGCGAGGCCTTGCGGGGGTTTCTTGAGGGCACATCCAGCAGATCCTTGGCAGGGCTGAGGTTGCCTCGGGGGAAGAACATGGAGCTGTCACTGGTCTGCCTCCTGTAGCTTCTCCTCCTGGGGGTGGAGGGGTGTTCGTGGGCGCTCAGGAACCGCTTGACTCGTCCAATCATGGAATGCCGATGGCCGTGCTTCTCATAATCCCACAGCCACTGCTCGTCAGGAAAGTCGTACTCAGACAGCCTGAAACACACAATGTCAACAGATGGGCAGAGTAGCTTCAGGGGCCTACCTTTGGGGGCAGAATCTCAAAGTTAAGAGATGAATTTGGTATTTTCACATTACAGATTACATTTCACATGGGGGTAGAGGGACTTGAACTTGAGATAGTCTAGCAGAGATTCTCATACTTTTTGGTCTTAGGATCCTTTTAAATTCTTAAAAATTATTCAGTACCCCAAAGAGTTTTGTTTATGTAGGTTATATCTCTTGTTCTTTACTGGATTTGAAATCATAACTGAGGAATGTCAAAAACAAGAGTGTACAAGCACACATTCCATTAACTGTTAAGTGATGACATCATCACACATCTGTAGCCTCTGGAAAATCCCACTGTACATTCATGAAAGAATGAGAATGAAAAAGGCAAATAACATTTTAGTATGTCAGAAGGAAATCAAAGTCTCAGAGCCACACCCCTCCCCCCCAACTCCTTTTACAAAAGAGAAGGTAAAAAACTCAGGCATCTGTGAAGAGCTGGCCCCACAGATCATTCATTAAGGAAATTTCTTGCTAACCTCCCCTAAGCAAGGACATACAAATTATACCTATGCCCAGCACCTAAAACTAAAGCCTGTTTGATTCCGCACTAATAATGAATTACAAGTTTATCCTACAGGTAACAGAACTGGAGACAAGACAGAATCAGGCATTTTTCCACCTACCCAGGGACATCTACATAATCGATGCTTCCTTTACTCCCTTACTTTATGTAAAATGTAGATTTCTTGGATCTCACAAGAATGTAACCACTACCTCACCAGCACCTCATCTCACCCCCTCACTTTGCCCTTCTCCTTTTCCTTCTCTCTGTATGCCTTTAAAATGCTGACGTTCCCAACAACTTCCTCTTGGGAAAAACAGCCACAGCTTGTCCCGTGATTTGTGTTTTTCCCAAGAGCATCCTCAAAATCTTGGCTTAATAAACCTCCATTGATTGAGATTTTTGCCTCCGTCATTTATTTGGGTCAACAATTGTTATTATGGAAATAGTTTTGACCTTGAGGACTCCCTAAAAGAGCTTTAGGGATCCCAGATGTCCCTAGACCATACTTTGAAAATCACTGATCTAGAGACGTGAACATTAAAAAAATACACATATAGTATGTGTTCTTTCTTCCTTATTACAGTTGAACTAAGGTCAAGTTTCCCCCAGGACCCATAAAATCCCCAAAACAATGGATCATAAGTAAATTCAAGAGAGTGCAAATAATAGCTAACATTTATTGACTAGTACTAAGGGCCAGCTAAGCACCTCGCATGCATTAATTCATTTAATTATCTCAATCATTGTGTGAATTGGTATTGTCATTATTATTCACACTTTACAGATGAGGAAACAGCCCCAGAGAGATTCATCAAGCCTAAGTAGCTAGTGAGGGCCAAACTAGGAAGTCTGACTCCGAAGCTTTGTTCTTAATCACTTTGTTATAAAGTCTGCTACATGGATGGCAAAGGAAGAGCTAGAGCCCTCGGGGTATAGTCCTTGCCCAGAGGTAATTTGTAAACATTGTTGGTGAATGCTTTGCATTTCTGTCTGTTCAATTAAGGTTAAGGAAGGAGAAATGTGAACCTGTGGAAAGAATATATTCATCTAGGTGGGGTGAACTCACATAGTGGTTGGGCTCCCCTTGTGATTATGTTTGATAGATTTGTTATGGCTAAGAATTTCCTGTTGAATTTTTAGCATTTAAAAACTAAAGCCAATAATCCTACCATTTTAAATCTGCTTCAAGGCTGAAATAAAATGGATAATTGAGATAAAAAAAAAAAATCCTGTTTGTTAGTGAGGTCTACTCCCACCTCAGGTTACACAGTTATTTGCCTCACGTTTCTGTGGACTTACAGTCTTAATGGGGTTCAAAGAGCTACTTAAAGCCTTGCCCTTCAAATGCAAATGCTCACACTGGTTCTGGCAGCAACAGTAATTGGGCCATCCCAGTCCAGTGTTAGTATTGCCATTTCTGGTGACAAGATGCTTTAACTATGCCAGGTGCATTTTATGTGAAATGGTGGAAAAAGCTGGGACAGTATAATGTTGGTGGGCCTCGAAAGGGTAATGTGAGTAGCTAGAGAAAATGTTGTTTCTTGTGTTTATGAATAAAAGGTGGATGATCAAGATGATTAACTGGCTAAATGTCCTGGGATGGCGTTCGATTACAACCTCGTGCTGTTATTCTAAAGCCCTAGCGTGCCCTTGGCTACCAGATAGCCTTCTGACCCCTCTCCACTGGGCAAGGCTCGGATTGTGTTACAGAGACTTGGGAAATGCAGACTCACGCTTCAGTGGCCTTGGTGACCTGCTCGTTGGGTCTCCAGTCACTCCTCACAGGAATCCATCTGGTCAGAGAAGTCACCAGAGGAGCGACGAGCACAGTCGTTCGCTAAGACTGCCACACTGGATGTGCTCTGGGGATCGAGGGTGTGCTGGCAACCTCTCCTTATAGGATAGCCATCTGCCCTCCATTTGGGATCTTGACTATTTATTTGGGATTTGTTTTCCTCAACTACTTCTAAAGCACACAACCTTGTAAGAATGACAGGATCTTTTAGGGGAAAAACTTGGTATTTTCATTACTTCAAACTTTGCCACTCAAAAGGAAAGAACTTTCAAAGCATACACTGGTGTGGGATATGTACATTCAACTGCAGCAAGAGGTATAAGCCCCTGGGTCACAGATTGGAGAAAAATGGACAAGTTGCAATGAGAAAACTGCAAAAAGGCTAGTGGCTCGCTAACACTCTAGTGATTCACTGACTGGCATTGGGTAAGTCTGCCAAGGAGACCCTACCTACTGCACCTTCCTGCCTCACAGGACTGCTGTGGATCCAGGAGATTTATCTGCTTATTCACTTGACCACATTAATTGAGCATTCTCCATGAACAATTTGTTGCATTAGGTACCTTATAACATATCATTTAAAAGGAGGGAGGAGGCATGCATATAAATGTCTACATTGGGGGCAAGTAAGTTTTTGAGCTGGCCTTTGATAGAGAATTTGGATTGGATAGACAGAGAAGGGGCAGAGCATTCCAGGTGGAAAAAGTGACTTGAGCAAATAAGGCAGCAGGAAGGTAGCGGTGTTTGTGAGGAATGGGAGATACTTGAGTTTGTGTGAAACACACAGAAGAGTGTCGGGCAGAGGCTGGGAAGATAGTCTTGGACTGTGTTATGAGGAGTCATAGATCAGGCTGAGGGATTTGGACTTCATCACAGAGTGTCTTTGAGAACAGAGGGCATCACTACAGTTGTGCGGTGTTGGCAGTACTGTCCAGGTTGGAAAGGCTACACGAATACCAACACTGATGAATGCTTTGGAAAAGAAACGTGGCTTGAAAACTTTCCGCACCTTTAGTCTGAAACTGAGTCTTTGGAAGAACACTTGATGCTTTGTATCTGGGGGCGGGGGGGAAGCTTTTATGTATCTCACACTGAAGTGATGAACGATGCCCTCCAGGTCTTTATGCTCTAAGAGACCAGTAGGCAAACTCCATGGCATGATGGGCCTAACGACCTTTCTTCTAAATGCTTCCATGGAAGGTCTCATTGCTAACACATGTGCTCATCTCTGTCTTTTTCTGATAGACATTGTTCACAATATGACAGCAGAAACTGTCCTTTAAGAACAAAATGGTTCAAAGCTTAGAGCTCACAGAATAGAAAACTCTAGAAGAGTCTTTATTTCCCAATTGGGAGGTTTGGGTGTACCTTTTTGTCCTTTTATGCGTTCTCCTCCTTCCTACTTGATTTTTAAAGTGTACCCTTGGTATAGGCTTAATACAATCCAGAGGCCCAAATATAATACCACTTAAATAATTATAGCAGAAACATTATATGATAGAATGTAAGCACCAGCATTATATTCCTATATATTAGAGACAGTCAGCTGAAAAAGCTAGGTTTTATGTTCTGGAACTCATTTGGACTGAATAGGCTGGTAATTAGAGATAGGAGGACATTCATGGAAAGTGCCATGCAGCCATCAGTTTCCAGGGATGGAATTTGAGAATTGTCTTTGTGGTAGGAAAAATGATTTATTTTGAGAGCTGGCAGAGCCAGGATTGCTGCTGTCTAGGCTGACACTAACTAGCTGTATGACCTTGGGAGACTCATTTAACCTCTCGTGACTTAGCATCATACTTGGTAAGCTGGTGATGATAATCCTTCACCTGACTTCCAGGTTGTTTGTGAGTTAAAAAGGGGTAACATATGTAGAACATCTTTGAAGAACAGAAATATAGAAAGGACTCTGTCAATGACTGGCAAATTTTCAGAGGTGGTTTCCAAGTCATTATCGACTTCTTATACAGGGCTGGAAGATATGGTAGCATCTGCCTGAAGGTCATTTCCTTTTTTCCTTAAAGATCATCCTTTGAAAAATGTCACTACACCTAAGAGCTGCCACCTAACAATCAAAACCTTTGAAGGGATGACTTAGCCATTTAATGGTGAGACAAGGGCACTGGGTGAGTGCAGAGTAAACGTAAGGACTGGAGGAAGCTGGGCTATTCGAGGGGAAGAAGATATGGTGGATCAAATGGCAGGTGTTGTGGAGAAGGCACTGTCCTGACCTTGCCTCTCAATGTTGTTTTTCATGCCATTTGCTAACCATTGCCAAACCCTGCAGGATACATTTACTGAACAATAGAAACCATCAATACAGAAATACAGAAAACATGAGCACAAGAAAGGTGATGTCATGTATTGGGCTATTTTTGAAAGGGAGAAGGATAGAAGAAGGAGAGTGAGAAAAGGTTACGTCGAGCTAGTTAGGCTAGGTAGTTACAGCTGAGTCTAGAGGGAGGCGCAGCATGCATTATTTCTACAGGTCAGACAGATGTCTGGATTGGAATTATTTTAATCTCAGGTGTTAAAAAAAAACCCTAATTTCAAAATGTCTATTGAGCACCCGCACAACCATCAGGCTCATGATCATCCTTGCCAGTGACAAATATTGAGGGC